GGGTCAATTACATGGGGTCTTGCTGACTCAGGGCAGTCTTTATTGCTTGAGGGGGTATTTTCAGTTACCATCAGGGGATGCTTTGCCCACAGGATCTTTTGCCTGAATTAAGAGATAAACTGCAAGGAAGAACTTAATCAATTATAAAGCACACTGAGGTCAAAATGAAGGTACTTGAAGTCTTCTTTCATGTTCATCAGAAGTGAGTCAGTAAGTATAGCCCACATTCAGGGAGAGGGAATCAGGCTCTGCCTTTTTAAAGGAAAAGTATCAAATAATTTGTGGACATATCTTAAAACCACCATGAATTGCAAACATAATGTTCTCATAGGACAGCATCCCAAGCAAGAATTTAGGAGTATGGGGGAAAAAAAAGGCTTGTTCCTCTAGCTGCTCTCTCTTTCATCAGAAAGCAAAGTCCTTCCCAGAAAGTGTCAGTTGACTTCTTACATATCATTTGCCTAAATTCAATAAGTGCACATTCCCAGACCAGTTCATGATAAAGGGGAATGGGATTACCATGCTTAGATTTATCCCCAGAGGTTGTGAGATAAACCTACCTTCCTTGAGTATTTGTCTTGAGCCCAATAATCAAATTAGGTTTCTATTAGCAAGGAAGATGGTAGCTATGGAATGGCTGCTGGGTAAGCAACAGTGACTTTGACAAATGGATTCTCATTACTCTTAGGATGAAAATTGCATGTTTATCATGGTTATAAGACCCGAAGGATCTGGTCCCTGCTTACTTGCCTAGTCAGTATAATTTTAGGTCTTTTTTTTCCAGAAACATTGGACTTTTTGTGTTTTCTCAGACTCCTTTCCACCTTAGAATCTTTGCGTCTCTGATGGTGCTTCAGATATATAGTGGATAAAGCCTCCTGATTTTGTCACTGTCTAGACCCCAAGACCTGACTTTTACTGTTTACCTGCTTGTACCCACTGAACTTTGCCTTACACTTTTCCTTAAGCTCTTCTTTCTAGCTTATCTCATAACTCAGGCAAAAGACCCAACGGGCATAGCATCCTGTGATGAAAACCAAAACTACCCTTCAAGCAATAGCTAATGCTTGGACAACGAGTTCTGGCAAGCCCCTATCGCCCAGACCATTTCAATCTTAAACCCCAACTCATGCCTTCTCAGAAGGACCATGGAATGACTGACAGTCCCCTTTACCTCATTATTATACTAAAATCTCCACCCAAGATGGAGCAGAAGCTTCATTTACAAATAAAATTTACTTTGTGTGACAACTCCACCTGGTGTAGTTTCCATCTGTGACTCACCAAGGAGCGAACTCATGTTATTTTGGTTACAATCTTTACAAATTTCAATGTTCTCATCTGCAAAATAGAGATGATAGTACCTACTTCACGAAGCTGTTGTGAGGAGTAATGAGTCATATATGTTCAGTCCTTAGCACATGACTGGAATACAGTAAGTACTCATTAATTGGGAAGCATTGTTAAGTTCAGGCTGTCAGATTTTATGCTTGTTTTGCTTTCCTTGCTGACACCCTTGGTTACTCTTCTATCTTATCCAGAAGGAATTGCTTCCCACTACCACAGTAACCCAGGGGGAATGAAGTAACTGCTAAATGTATGCAGAGATGATCATGGAGAGGCCAGGAGTTCCAACTGGGTGTCAAATGTAGGCTCATTTGGAAGCAATTCCATGGAGGTTTCCCAAATATACATTGATAGGATTGAAAGAAAGTAATATTATGTTTATTTTATGACTTTAAATTTGTATCTCAGTACCAATACATCATAAATTATTATTTCCTACTGTAGCCAAACCAATGTGAGTTCCTCCTTGGTGAGTCAGAAACTGTATCAGGTTGAGTTGTTGCACGGAGAAAACTTTATTTGCAGCAAATAAGAAGAACATGGGGAATAACTTCCAAAGCCATGACTCTCTGAGCAAGGGTGAGTTTATTTAGGGTTATTTATTTAGGGTTAGGATGACTATTTAGATAGGGAAGCCTTGTCATCATATGCAGAAATGGGCACAAGGTTGCCCATGTGTCTTAAGGAAACATGCCTATACACACATTGTATGTTATGTAAATGAGGCTTATGCTCCTCCTTGGATGGAGATTTTAGTACTATAATGAGGTAAATGTAGTTGTCAGTCATCCATGGTCCATCTGTGTAGGTGTGAGTCAGAGGGGGTGACGCTCAAATTTGTCTGGGTGATCTAGGCCAGCTGGAGGTCTTGTCAAGGCAGTTGCTATTGCTGGAGGTTCAGTTTCACTTTCCATTTGCCAGAGTTAAGAGATAAGCTGGCAAGAAGAGCTTAAGGAAACATATGGGACAAAGGCCCGTGAGTACAAGCAGGTGGGCAGTAAAGGTCAGGTCTTGGGGTCTAGCTGGTGACACTTCATTTTACCTTGACCTTGAGTACCATATGTGGAAAATTTGTTTCTGACTCAGATTACTTCATTCTATGACCTGAAACTGTGTTTCCCTCTTGGAGGGTGTCAAGCCAAAAGATACAACCAAGAATGGGAAAAACAAGAGTTTCGCTTGCAACAAGTAAAGGAGAACACTGGGGATATTTCCCAAAGCAGTGTCTCCGTAAGAACAAAACTGGGGAAGTTTTAAGCTAAGGGTTCATGCATATTCATGAAAGGGCTTATGCAATGGGGAATTCAGCAAGCAATTTGGGAGCAAAAGTCATGTCAAGGTGACAGAGTCCAGGTCAAAGTTATGAGGGCCAGCAAGGATCAGTATCATCAATTCTCTGGCTTTTCTTGGTCAGTATCTGACTGCTCAAAAAGGATTTAGATCATTTAAAGATAAGTCAAGAATGTTTGTCAGGTAGGGGTGCCTGGGTGGCTCAGTTGGTGAAGCATCCGACTTTGGCTCAGGTCATGATTTCACAGTGGGTTCCAGCCCCGCATGGGGCTCTGTGTTGACAGCTAGGACCCTGGAGCCTGGAGCCTGCTTCAGATTCTGTGTCCCCTGCTCTCCTTGCCCCTCCCTTGCTCACACTCACTCTCTTCTTCAAAAATAAATAAATTTAAAAAAAATAAAAAAAAGAATGTATGTCAGATCAATCTTTACTTTTGAATCAGCACTGGGAGTTTTACCAGTGATTTATTGTCCTGGATATGATTAGGTTATCTCCTGGCCTGGTAGTGGCTTGTCTTTACGTTCTTTCACATAAAAGAAGGACAGGGGCCTAAAATGACTTTTCTTACGTCAAGAAAGCTATTAAGACAGGGAAACTGAAGGACTCCATAAAAATCTGCTTTTGTTCCTTTTCCTGCATCTATTCTTGCAACCTCACCCCACTTTACACAAACCTTGTAATGCAAATCATGTTTGTCCACCTTCAAAGGGACAGGAAATTAATGATTTCTCTAGAATAGGTAACATCTGAGGAAGGACCAGGTGAGAATGAAAGGAAGAAATTATTATATGCATAGTCCAAACCACTAGCGCTAGATATCTAGATACTAAGGCCCCTTGACTCCAAGGAATAACACCTGGACCCCGGTCTTTGTTCTAACCGGTTCTTGCTTCCTGGATGTCTGAGGGGGACACGTACAGCAGACAATCACCCTCAATGAAACCCCCCAGGAACCGAAAAAGAACAAAGATGAGAGTCACGCTACTTTCTTTTCCAAGTCTCCCAGATGTTTCGACTGTATCTGCTTTTTATCTTTAATGAACTCTGCTCTCACTTCCGGCTGGGCTGGCGGGCGTTTGATTTCTATCCTGCCCAAAGCTAAGGATTCTCATGGCCGGTCCTGCAGGAGTCCTTCTGGGTCCTCTGGCCCAGTCTGTAGGCATCACTACATCTGGTCTTTCTTTTCCCCAGGACCCCTAACTCTTTCTGTTTACAAATCCAGCCAATTCTGCAAGCATGTTGGACATGGAGTACCTATTTCCTAGCAATGCTGTCTGTATTACAGTATCATTATGTTACAGGAGGGTGGGAGAGACGCTAGTCCTTGTCTCACGGAGTCGAAGAATGAATCTCCAGAACAAAAGTGAGCAAAACGATAAGGTTTACTGAGGGAAAGTATAAAGCTCTCCAGGGTGAGAGGGGTCACAATTGGGTAGCCGCTGAAGATCTTTGCCCCTGCCTTTTTAATCGGGACCTTATCATGAAGTTTGTCAGACTCCACGCATAGCACTTAGCCCAGGCAGGTCCCGAATACATTCATCTTACCTTTTTTTTTTTTTTAAACCATTCTCTGCTGCTGCTTCTTCAGCCTCCCACTTGTGCTGCTTCCTACCTCCCTGAAGGTCCTTCATCTCTCCCTGCCTAATGTTAACCCTCTTCCTATTCAGATATATGGACTCTACGTCTGGACTGCCTAGGTTTGAATCCACTACTTGCAAGATCTGAAACCCTAGGAAAGTTACTAAACCTCCTTCTGCATCATTTACTTCATCTGTAAAATGAGGAAGGCAATACCTACTTCCGAGTTTTGTGACCATTATTCGTTAATATATGAAAAATGCTATCTATTTGCCATTAGCATTAATTGTGTCAAAACCGGAACAAAGACATTGCATTTTTAATTATAAAAAAGGGGAAGCTCGGGGGACCTAGGCCATTCCCGAATTCTGAGAGGTCTCAATTATTAAGGTCAATCAGCAGCCTTACTTAGAATTCCGTTTTAGGCAGCCAGGAAACCAGATTAGTTTTCCAAAAGGAAGTGCCCTTTGTATCTATCCTGGTAGGGCTGCCAAGAATTCCGTGGGGTGGGGGGCGGCGCTTTTCCCCCGGCTGTGTGGGGTTTGCTGGGCGCTGCAGTTGCTCCGGGTGGGGCAGCTGCAGGGCCCGGGCGGAGGCCTTGCGCCTGTTACTTTCGCCACGTCCGCCTGGAGCACCACACACTACCCTTTCCTCCCGCTGCCGACCGCGCGGCGCCGCCTCCTGCTCCTGCCCTCAAATCACAAAGGCCTCCAGCGGTCTGCTGCGTGCTGGACGTGACAAATTAAAACCTCACGTCCCACCAGTGTCCTCGCAGACGGACAGCGCCTCAGAGCAATGGCAGGGCGTCGGCGCCTTCTAGCCTCGGCCAATAGTGGCTGCTATGCGCAGCGCGCGGGAGGGGAAAGGGAGGGCTGGTAGGCGGGGCGGTGTGGCCTGAGCCGGTCTCTGCATTCCGCACGCTACTAGAACGTACGTCGGCCGCTTTCTTCTTCGCTGTTTAAGCCTTCAGCCTTGCTGCCGTTGAATTGCCAAGATGTCGCTTTCTAATAAGCTGACTCTGGACAAGCTGAACGTGAAGGCGAAGCGGGTCATCATGAGGTAATTCTGCACATCTGCTCATGCTCCCTCAAGGGCTCTGCTGCCGCGTCTCTGGCCACAGCCAACTTGCTTCCTTGCTTGCCCAAAGTTGCTTTAGTCCTTGGCTCGGCCCCGTGGGTTCTAGCCCTGCAGAGTGAGGCTGCCCACCATTGTGGCTGAGGCTTTGCTCCACTTTTACGGTTTCTAATCTCTTGCCCCACCCGAGAAAGGGAGCCGTTTTTGCCCTTTGGAGGTGGCTCCGCCGAGGAAGGGCTCAATTCCGGGACCCATTTTGCCCTCCTTCCTATTCCTGAGATGAGGTTCCATCGCCTCCAGCCCCCAGCCGGCGAGGTGAGACGTAATGCTTAGCCTGCAAATCCCTAGGCCCCAAGAAGGGGACCTTGAAAGGTCATTTGGTTAGTTTCCCTTCCCCCACCGCCCTAGACCATCCCAGATAAATAAGAAAAGGCCCACAATCCAAAGGTCACTGCACAAAAGGAAAAATTTCCCTGAAGAGGTTATTTAGATGTTCAGGAGTAGCACCCCCTAAAGCATTGGGGATGGGAGGGTGGAGGCACAGAAGGAGGCCCTACAGAGCTTATGTAACAGGCGTCTCTACATGCCACCGTTGGACTACAGGCCATGCATGGGGTTTACATCAGAATTGTGACACATGCTGGGTGATGGTAGAGCAGGGTGTGGTTGCTCATTCTTTTTTTCCAACCTCACCTCACAGGTGGCTAGAGAAACAGGATATTAGAAGTGACGATGGCTACCCAGGCACTTAGGGGTCTTTTACTCTGCACATGTGGAACCCTGGTCACTTAACCAACATGGCTTCTCCCTTGTATGCCCAAATTGTATGGTGCATGGAACTTTTGCGTTTATCCTTTTTGTAACCTACGGTATATTTGCATGCCAGGAGCAAAGTGCAGGAGGACAGTTAGGAATGTAACTGCTGGACTTGACTGTTGATATACCTTGATAGGATCCAAGGATGGTGCATTTTGGGAGTCACAGGGCTTGTATTGATAGCGTTGTGCAGTCTTGTCCTTTTTGGGAAGTGGTTGATTGATGGACAGGCATGTGAATGGTGTGATCCAGCCCCTTTCCCAATTTGGGCTGGTTCAAGTGAGGGCATCTTTTGGATATTAACAGACACATTAGGCAGTAGGGAATCTCCCTTTACCCTAGGCTTAAATATAGGAGGGCACTATGAATTTCAGAACTCTGGGCACTGTAAAAGTTGATGCAGCTCTCCCTTTTTCTCTAGTTTCATTGTGGCCACTCTTAGTTTGCAAGTGGCCTTCTCTGTCTTGTTGTGGAAATAGAAAAACTCAATATCTTAGGGCCACGAAAAACACCTGGCATCCACATTTTCCCAAATGATCTAGGCATTAGCACTCTGGACAAAGTAGGAATCAAAGCCATCCTGGTATTAAAAATGGGCCCTTTCTACCCTTCTGATGATCTTAAGGAAAGGGGATAGATTCTATAAAAATTGGCCAGGTGGATGTTGGCATGCAACTGGATCTTAGGTTTTAATTATTGCCTCTCATCTTCACTGGGCTCAAGGCTGACCTTTCGAGATAACATACACCAGCTGGAAGACAAGGGGTGGGGCTTCAGGCTTGCTGGTCACCTTCCTGCAATTGCAGTCTTAGGCTTTATTTTCTCTCCTCAGGGAAACTGGTTTGAGGAATTAACTGGGCTGTTGGAGAGTGAGACTTTAGGAGGTGCTTATCTTTTCTCCCTCCAGACCCAACATGAAATAACTTGCTGTTCAAGGACTCAAAGTTTCACTTAACACAGATTAACCCTGAGCCTTGAAATGATTGGTTAGTCCTGTTTTGATGATGGAAAATTACCTGTCCAAGATCACTGAACTAGCAAATTGGTGGCAGAGCTAGGACTAAAATTTGGGTCTCTTTGGCTGCCAGCCACATCCTCTGAATACTCACCATTGTAAATAAGGACAGGTTAAAGACTGTCTGTGAAGGTTGCAATCCATATTCTTCCCCCTGTACTCTGGATGAATTCTAATTATTTGGCCTGAGGACAAGAAGTTACTTTGTTCCCTATTAATGTATCTCTTTTGAATGGAGTCACATTTTGTAGGACTACTTTTTGGAAGAGCCTAGGCCAGCTATGCCTTGTCAAGCTCAAATTTCTTCTTGTTTCAGTGCGTTTATGTGGTGGTTGCTGGCAGTGATTCAGAAATGGGGCTTCCTGAGTGTGGCTTCCCTTGCCTCCTCTCTTTGTCCTGCAAAAGAAAACTCTGATGTTTGCTGAGTCTTCTGGCTCCTGCTTTGAATTGCCCAGGGAAACTGACTGATTTGTTGGGGAATAGCCAGAAACCTGACTGGGTAATTATCAGGTTCCACCTCCATTTTTTTGGTCTCCAGTTGACTCTATAGCCTTTTGAGTAAACTTCCTGCTTATTTTTGCAATGTCACTTCCTTTCTTCCTATCAAAGATTGCCAGTCTTACTCCTTTGCTGACTTGTGAAGCACTTCCCTTTTACCTGCTCCCTCCACCCCTCTTTTGTTTTAAACCTGTGTTTCTTGAACCTGTTGTAACTTGTTAAGCAACAGCTTTGATGTAGTGGAAAAAGAAATGGAGAGGAAAAACTGAGCAGAGAAAAAGTCTTTTAAGATGCTCATAATACTCCAATTTTCCAGTCAGAGGGTATTTCCAGTGAAGCAAGAGTGAGCATGGTACTCTTGAGAGCTTTTAATGGGCCTGGAGCCCTGAAATTGCAGGTGTTAGAGACTTGATATCTTACTCTAAATCAGTATTTTTGACATTTTATTTTTAAATACTTACAGATTCACAGAAGGTTGCAAAAATAGTACAGAGAAGTCTTTGTTCACCCAATTTCCCCCAGTGGATACATCTTACAAAATTCTGGTACAATATCAAAAGTAGGAGGTTGACATTGGAATAAAGTGTATAGTTCTTTGCTGTGTTATCACACAAAGGTTGTGTGTAACTCCTACCACAGTCAAATTACAAAACTGTTTTGTTTGATCACCACCAAGCCCTCCCTCATTCTACCCCTTCAGAGTCGTGCACCTTCCCCCCACTCCCTCCATTCCAACACCTGGTAACTACTGATCTGTTCCCTGTCCCTAAAATTTTATCATTTCAAAAATGTTACATAAGTGGAATCACACAGTATATAACCTTTTGGTATTGGCTTTTTTTTTTTCACTCAGCTTAATACCCTCTATTTATCCAAGTTGTTGCATGTATCAGTAGTTCATTCTTTATATTGCTGAGTAGTATTTTATGGTATGGATGTTGCACAGTTTGTTTAGCCATTCACCCCTTGAAGGACATCTGGCTTTTTTTCAGTTTGGGCCTATTACAAATAAAGCTGCTGTGAACATTGAATATTCATGCACAAGTCTTGCTTGGTGTGGACATAGGCTGTCATTTCTCTTGGGTAAACACCTAGGAGTGGAATCACTGGGTCATATGCCTAACCTTTTGAGGAGTTCCCAGGAAGGTTTCCAAAGCAAGCACACTATTGTACATTCCCATCAGCAGTGTATGAGTGATAAGTTTTTCTGCATCCTCACCAGCATTTGGTGTTACTGTTTTTTATTTCAGCAATTCTGATAGCTGCGTAGTGATATCTGAGTTCACGCCTGAGGCTAAGTTCAGGAGTGTTTCAGGGAAGTGGAAATGGAAGGGCTGCCGATTTTACATAGAATAAGTGGAATGTGTAGGCAAGAGTAATTTCTGTGGTGGAGTCCTCAGAAAGAAGCTAAAAGCAGAGCTGTTGTTGAGATTCTAGGAGATGATGAAAGGAGGTAATCCACAGGCAATGAGAAGGGAGAAGTCCAGTTCTCATCAGTAAGGTATGCCATGGCAGCTTGGATAGATGACACAGATTCTTGAGTTTTTCTGCCCAAAGAATTTCCTCCCTGTAAGGGAGGGAATAGGGAGGAGCACTGCAAAGGTTGGCTTAGGGCTCAGCCTGTTGCCATTAGTGCTTTTGACCACAGGCCTTTCTGGGAGCCTGTAAGAAGGAAAATGACACAGGCAATGGGATACTCTGTCTTCTTTGGAATGTACTTTAAGGCTGGCAGGGGCCTTGTTCAGGATATTTAGAGAAGATGCTTGGAATCATAATCAAGTAGCCCGAAACTGAGTAGAGTGTATTTCTGAGCAGAGGCATACTGCTTTTATTTTTGAAGACTTTTAATTAAAATGTTTGAACATAGAATTATTCCTTCAACCCACCTTTGGAAAGGCTGCTCTTCAATGATGTAGATTGGAGTACTGTCCTAGGGGATATAGGAAATTGGTGGTCTTCTTAATAGGTCTAGGATTTTGTAATTGTCTGCCAGGCCTCAAGCCTGGCAGCGGTCTTCTCCACTAGGTCATACCTTCCCTGCAGTGTGTGACCTGCTAGCTGTTTTTGTAATGGTTGGAGAAACATTAACATACATAATAATAGCTGCCATTTATATACCACTTACCATGTACCAGGTACTCTTCTAAGCCCTTTACAGATCACTAACTCATGTAATTCTCACAATAACCAAGAGGTAGATACTATCATTCCTCTTCTGTAGAAGAGAAAGAAATTTAAGGAAGATTTTGCAGGCAACACTTAGACCCTACAATCAGCTATCCCATGTAGTTGTTTTCAGTCAGATTGAATTAGGCTGACGTTCCAAGGAGTTCAGAAGAAGAGGGGAGGAATTATTGGTTCTTAAAAAATGAATGGTAAAGCAGTAATCTGTTGGGTGACAAAGGAGAGAAATTATTTGCTTGTGCCATCTTGATCACTTCTCTTTCAATTGCCTATTTGTCAGGTAGGCAGGGTCACATGTTCCACCCTCTCCTATCAGGTTTTTTGAAAGAAGGTATCTTATTTTTATTGTGTGTTTTGCTTGAAGAATCCTGTGAACTCGGTCTTCAACACTGAGTTTTTTCTGGTCACAAGGCCCCAGGCTTTCTCCAAAAAGAATGATACTCAATTGATGTGTTTTATTTTTCCAGTTACTTTTTTCTTTTTAGTGATGTTAGTTACCTTCACTAGGACCCAGAAATAATACCAAAGGAATCAGAATCAAGATGTATTCCTTAATTACCCCTTACCTATCCAGCTGCCATTTATTATTAGCTAGTATCATGCTAGGTCCACATAAAAATCTTTTTAGATGGAACTGGTTTTAGCTTCCCAGGACTTCAGGGCTAGTTTCTGTGATTTCAGTTAGGTTTGATTTTTATTTTTAAAAATTCCTTTTTTAGAGTATGAGATATATACCTAAAAGGACACAAATCATAAGCTCAAAGGCTTATCACAAAACGAACACATTTGTTTAATCACCCTGGTCAAGAAATACACTGTAACCCCAGAAGCACCCTCTGGTGTCTTATCACAGGCCCTACTCCCACCTTCCTTTCCATGGCTAACCACTGTCTTGACTTCTAATGGCACATTATTTTGAAGGTGGATTTTGAACTCCCACCTTATTTAACTGGTTCACTAAAAGTGCCTCTCCTAATCTTTGAGGGAACAACAAATTGAATGGATCATGGCTCTAAACCTGAAATTTTGTTTCTTTTTTAGAGTGGACTTCAATGTTCCAATGAAGAACAACCAGATAACAAACAACCAGAGGTAAGGTCTCTGCTAAACCTTGAGCTTGGTTTAAGATGTGTGTGTTTGTCCATGGCTAAATAAGATGAAATGGTTTTCTTTTCTTATTGTAGAACTATGGTAACTTAAGCCATATATTCTTGGCTTTCCACAAACCCACTCTCTGGTCTGTTTTATTATAAAAATGTAAAAATTGGGGTAAGTCATCTTAAGAAAGTGATTTTTTTAATCTCCCCATGTTTTGAAAATTTGAAGGATTTGGGGTTATGCATTTTTAAAAAATAACAAAAGTCGAAGGTTACTTGGCTTCCCTTGGAAAATAAAGAACTGTGCAAGATGATTTTTTAATACTAGTAATATTTAAGCTTACGTGTATTTTTCCACATGGCCCAGATACAATCAGTTTTTGAGAATTTTGATGTAAAGGAAAAGACTTCCAAAGTAATATTTTCAGTTAGTTTAGGCTGTTCTAAATATCCTGGCTCCAAAATCAGGAGCAGAAATTTTATGATAGTATTGCTCTTAATGTTTTTATTTATTTTGAGGGAGAGTGAGACCTTGTGAATGCAGGAGAGGCAGAGAGAGAGAGAGGGAGAGAGAGAGAGGGAGGGAGGGAGGGAGGGAGGGAGGGAGGGAGAGAGAATCCTAAGCAGGCTCCATGCTGACAGCACAGAGCCCAACACTGGGCTTCATCCTGCGAACTGTGAGATCATGACCTGAGCAGAAATCAAGAGTTGGATGTTTGACCAACTAAGCCACCCAGGCATCCCCCCCTTTTTTTAAAGTAATTTTTAATTTTAAATGAAGGGTTTGAGCTGGAAAGGTGTTTTCCAATGATCTAGAGCAGTGTTGTCTAATAGAAATCTGAGCCAGATATAAAGTTTTCCAATTGCCCCATTAAAAATGTAAAAAGAAACAGGTGAACTTAATTTTAAATAACATATTTTATTTAATCCAGTAAGTCCAAAATAATGATCTCAATATGTAATCAATAAAAAATTAAAGGGACAGTGAACATTTTTGGTAGTAAGTCTCCAAGATGCAACATGTATTTTAATAGCACTATCTCAATCTGGACTAGTCGCATCTCTAGTATTTAAGAGGCACATGAGGCTAATGGCTACCTATTAGACAGTACAGGTCTAGACCCAAAACATTTTCAGATATTGGCCCCAGAGTAGAGTCTGGAGTTCTACCAAGTACATCCCTGCTGCGCCATAGTGGAAGGTCTTTGTTTTATACAAGGCAGCTCTGACCTTTCTTGATTTTCATATTCTGCAGCACACAGAAAAGATAGGAAACAAGCTTATCAAGGTATTTTATGAATAAAAGGCAGATAAACATGTCTGAGTACATTTTTTCATTTTCAGAAAATGCATTGAGTTCACAAACTGAAGCATTAGAAATAATAGAACTTGCCAATAAGGGATACCCTTGAAGATTAATTTGTTTTTTTGGGCAAACTTTGTGCCTAATGAAGGTTTCTTCTTTATTTGGTATTAGTGAGTTTTTATATATGTCAAATAGCATAATATATTTTAGAAGCATAACTTGGCTTTTTATTCCATTCTCTGCTGCAGTGTCACCTTATCAGAGACTTTCCCTGGCCACCCTATCTAAAATCCCCTCCACCACTATTCCCCAATCATTGTCTCCCTACCTTTATTTTTTACGCAGCTCTTATTACCACCTGATGCACACACATACACATATTTATATATATACACACACGTATATATATAATATATACATATATATATTATGTATATACATACATACTTTATATATATACATGTATTTATTGTCTCTCCATTAGAATTTCACTTCAGTGAGAGCAGAGACTGTTTTTATTCACTGTTGTATTCTCAGAATCTGGAAAGGTAACTGGTATAAGAAGAATTCAATAAATATTTGTTGAATAAATGAATGATTGTATTCATTATCAATTTTAATTTCTGAAAGACTGGCAAAAATGTAAAGCTTGTATTAAACCTTTAAAAAAAATTTGACACGTTTAAAGGGAGTTTAATAACTTTTTGGTTAAACTATAGATAATGTGATGCATTATTTAAACTATGTTCTATGTAATGTATTTTTTCCTACAAAAAAAGTGCCTTAGGATCTGTAATGAGTACAAAGAAGTTACTACATATTTTTATTTTTATTGTTATTTATTTATTTATTTATTTTTTAATATGAAATTTATTGTCAAATTGGTTTCTGTACAACACCCAGTGCTCATCCCAACAGGTGCCCTCAAGAAGTTACTACATATTTTTATTTTTTTTTTTTAATTTTTTTTTTTTCAACGTTTATTTATTTTTGGGACAGAAAGAGACAGAGCATGAACGGGGGAGGGGCAGAGAGAGAGGGAGACACAGAATCGGAAACAGGCTCCAGGCTCTGAGCCATCAGCCCAGAGCCTGACGCAGGGCTTGAACTCACGGACCGCGAGATGGTGACCTGGCTGAAGTCGGATGCTTAACCGACTGCGCCACCCAGGCGCCCCTTGAAGTTACTACATATTTTTAAATTTTCCTCAAATTTCTTTTAATGGTGCTAAGATTTGGGAATTTTATTTTTTTTTGTTTTTTTTTAATAAAAAAAATGTTTATTTATTTTTGAAAGAGAGAGAGAGAGCGTGAGCAGGGGAGGGGCAGAGAGAGAGGGAGACCCAGCACAGAATCCAAAGCAGGCTCCAGGCTCCCAGCTGTCATCACAGAGTCTGATGCGAAGCTTGAACTCCCGAACTGCAAGATCATGACCTGAGCCAAAGTCAGACACTTAACCGACTGAGCCACCCAGGTGCCCCAAGATTTGGGAATTTTAGATTTCTTGTCAGTCACATAAGAGGGATGTTTCAGGGGTCCCTAAGACCACCCACATATTTGGTGATTCACTAAAAGGACTCACAAGCTTAGCATATAGTTCTCACTGCTAAGGTTTATTATTATAGTGAAAGGATGCATGACAAGATCAGCAAGGGGAAAAGACAGATAAAATCTGGAGAAATCCATGCAGGGGCTTCCAGTGCTCTTTCCCTCCAGCAGTGGAAAATGCAGTAGTTGTATGTGTTGTTTCTGCCCAGAAAAGCCCATTAGAGACTCAGCCCCCAAGATTTTTATTGGGAGCTGGTCATATGAGTGCCCACTGCCTAACAACCAACAATTTTCCAGACTCTTAGAGGAAAGCAGGTGTTCAGCATAAATCACCTAGTTTGTACACTCTAGGAGCAGTGAACAGCCCATGTCAGAGAACCAAGGGACCACTTTGAAAGCCAGGTTCTCAGACACTGGCCAGGGGCCAACTTTGCAAGCAAGTCTTTCTAAAGATAGCAGCCTCAGGCCTGCTATATTAAATCTTTTCTGCCTAAGGGGCAAAACAGGATCAGATGGAACAATCCTAGGTGGAAGGTTAGCATCATAATTGATTTCTTTCCCTGAACATGAACATGAGGACCATCACTGAGTTGCCAACAGATTTGAAGGAATTTAAGAGAAGAAAAAGGGCTTTATATTTTATGAGATCATAAATAAAATAGTTCCCACTAATTCATAGGAGTAACCTTGCTCTACTGCCTGTCTCTTTTTGGTTACAGAATCAAGGCTGCCATCCCAAGCATCAAATTCTGCTTGGACAATGGAGCAAAGTCCGTTGTTCTTATGAGCCATCTGGGCCGGCCTGATGGTGTCCCCATGCCTGACAAGTACTCTTTGGAGCCAGTTGCGGTAGAACTCAAATCTCTGCTTGGCAAGTAAGTGCCAGGGTCTGGAGCTGGTGGACTCTGACAGGAGATGTTGTGAAGCATGTTGTTACTCTTTCTTTCAGACTGCTCAAGTGTCTCCATCTTGTGCTCTCCCCAGGGATGTTTTATTCTTAAAGGACTGTGTGGGCCCAGAAGTGGAGAAAGCTTGTGCTGACCCAGCTGCTGGGTCTGTCATCCTGTTGGAGAACCTTCGCTTTCATGTGGAAGAAGAAGGGAAGGGAAAAGATGCTTCTGGGAATAAGGTAGGACCTGGGACTTTGACATTACTGGGGGTGAGGAGGGCTGAGTCTGTAGAAGATTGAAGAATAGAGGTAGTTCATGTTTATTTTTTCCTTACACACCTTTTTATTGAAGTTTAACACACACCTATATATGTATATGTATATGTATGTATATATACACATATATACACACACATAAATGCATAGCTTGATGAATTACCACAGAGTACACACGCCTGTGTAACCACCACCTACGTCAAGGAATAGAATATCGGCTATACTTGGGTATGAGTATTCAGTGGACATGCTTTTGCAATTGTTCCTTTGGTACCCACTTGGCCTATGATGACATGAGAAATCTGACATTATGTGATAATCCTACTTGGGCTATGATTCCCAAGTGCTGAGAGCAGACATTCACAGGCAGTTGAGGGGGTGGGTGTCCATGCTCTACCAGGTGTTCCTCCAACAGAGCCAGTATTAGATTCTTTTAAGACTGGGACAGTTTTTTTTAAGCAATAGGCCCTAATGTGTTATGGAAGGACAATGAATATTCTTCTTTAGAAGGGGAATTAACTTAATGGTTGAGCTTGATACTCTTAAAACCATAAATTAAATGTGATATAATTGGGATTTTCTTATAAAAAAATTATGTGAGCAGAAAAAGTACTTTCCTAAGTCAAGTGGAAAGGGACTATTTGGGAAAATTTGTTGTAAATTGGGTAAATGATGTTCATGATGACAGTGCCTTGGATTTAAGGCATTTTTTTTTAATGCAGTGTAAACCATTTTTTTAAATTCTCTTTAAGATGAGTAAGTACAGGTATTATCATCATTTCATAAAGAAATTTAAGTCTCAGAAAGGCACTCATTTTACTAAAGTTAGAGGCAGTGGTGCTGTTGCTGGGCTTTATATCTAGCGTAGTCCTTTAGATCAGCAAACTTTTTCTATAAAGGGCCAGACGATAAGGCTTTGTAAGCTGTACAGTCATGACTGTATATGATCCTGTTGGAGCTACTCAACTCTGGTGTTGTGCAAAAACGACCATAGTTAAAAACCACCCAAAACAAACAAAAAAAGAGCAACTGTAGATAATCCACAAGATAGATTACTATGACCTGACAACCATAATTCAAATATTAAATGATAAGCTGGCTCTTTGAAGATGATTTACAATTTGCCTATTGGTAGAAGAGAAGCTGAAGTCATCCTTTAGAACTTTCCACTCTTAAGGTGTTTAGTGTCTTGGGGAACAAGATTCTTTGAGGCTAGTATCTCAATCTCCTGTTGTACTTCTGGTGTTTCTTTTTAAATTTTTTTTAACATTTTATTTATTTTTATTTTTTGAGAGAGACAGAGTATGAGCAGGGGAGGGACAGAGAGGGAGACACAGAATCCAAAGCAGGCTCCAGGCTTTGAGCTGTTTGCACAGAATCTGATGCAGGGCTGGAACCCATGAATGTGAGATCATGACCTGAGCCAAAGTTGGACGCTCAACTGACTGAGCCACCCAGACACCCCTCTGGTGTTTCTTAAGGTTATCGGAGTACCAGCTTTTAAGCAGTTTCTTTTCTTAGCAACTCAGGCCTTATCCTCCCTTTGGCATGGTCTTGGTACAGTAGTAGGAGTCAAATGCTGACCTCAAATTTGGTGCCCTTTTAGAGTGAGAATCACTTGCACAGACTCTGGGACTTAGAGGTGGTAGCAAATAGAGGGAAAACCTGTTATTCAGGGAGTGATGAACTAACTGCTAGCCTATGACATTTTTAGTTAATTAACTTTGCATTTAAACACACATTAGTGTCAAGTGTCCAGTGGCTTTGATGCTCGAAATTTCAAGACCCAGTAGTAAGTTGAAAATAGATAAAAACAACAACAAAGCAGGGACATAAGAGTTTTCCTTCTTCCAGTGTACCCACATTGGTCTTTTATGAACATTTTATTTATTGGCAGATCAAAAATGAGAAATGGGTTCTGAATATTGTTAATTTCTATAGTGCCTTTTTTCATGAAGAGCTTCAATTTGCCCCCCTTTTCCTTAAACAGTTCTTAAAGGGGTTATCATGTCTTTAATAGATGAGAAGATGTCGGGGACAGAGATCAACTTGCCAAAGGTTTTCACAGTGAATTAGTGTTAGAGTTGGGCCTAGAACCCAGGTGTCCTGCCATTTGGGCAGTGTTTTCATTACTACACAAATAATCTTCCAGTCACCAAGGGCAGGTGATATTCCATTCTAGAAAGATTATGTGGGTTCTGCAGTCTTTAATTTTAGCATTTAGGGCCCCTGCATTCTTTGGGTCATTAGAGGAAAGCCCCTGTTCTTTGTGTAGCCTCCTTCACTTTGAAACACAGGGGAGTGGGATTGGCAGTGACTAAAATAAACATCTGTGCTGTATATTCTTCAGTGCCATGTCCCCCCGTGCATTTTTCTTGGTCTCTTTCTGGAGATCTTTGTCCATCCTTCCATCCTGCTTTATGTCCCTTTTTTGGGTGGGGGGATCCCTGGATTCCCCTTTCTCTTAAAAATGTCTCTCTCGGGGCGCCTGGGTGGCGCAGTCGGTTAAGCGTCCGACTTCAGCCAGGTCACGATCTCGCGGTCCGTGAGTTCGAGCCCCGCGTCAGGCTCTGGGTGGATGGCTCAGAGCCTGGAGCCTGTTTCTGATTCTGTGTCTCCCTCTCTCTCTGCCCCTCCCCCGTTCATGCTCTGTCTCTCTCTGTCCCAAAAATAAACATTGAAAAAAAAAATTAAAAAAATAAAATAAAGTTGCAATTTAAAAAAAAAAAAAAAAAATGTCTCTCTCAAAAGTGAGACTTTTTTTTTGAGAGAGAGAGAGGGTGTAAGTGAGCGATGGGCAGAGAGGGAGAGGAAGGGAGGAAGGGAGAGAGAGAGAGAAAGAGAGAGAAGCAGGGCTCACCTGATACAGGGCTCGAACTCACAAATCATGAGATCGTGACCTGAGCTGAAGTCAGATGCTTAACGACTGAGCCACCCATGGTGCCGAGGTGACATTTCAAAGCCATGTTTTACTTCTAATTTTGCTTCTCTTTTTGGTAGAAGTGTACTTCTTGTTTTCTTAGATGCCTAACTTCTAGGGAAGATTCTATAAAATACAGCCTTTTAATATATATAAAATATTTCTGAGGTCCTTTTCTGTTGCCATGTGTCCACCTGCCTTCTCTGTCCCAGGCTCATGAAGAATATGTGTGAGGGCCTCTCCCTTTGCAAAAAGGCCGTGGTATCTAGAAGCCTGAGTCAAGTATAATCCTGACTTTTACAAGGATATGTTAAAATGAGGATATGAGTCAAGCTAAGGAAAGGGAAAGATAATCAGAATCTTGTCCTAGGAGTTGGGGAGAGGTCAGTGGGATGTGATTAGCTTTGTGTGACTAGAAGTTAAGCCATGGTTCAGGAATCTTAAGTTTTCAATTTGAGGCAAGATGATGGAGAGCAGAATGTAGAAGTGACCAAAAGACCTGGAGTATTTGGAAAAAGAAATATATCCTATTGCTTGTTGTGAAAATTGCTGTCCCACCAACTCTGGGTCTTTAGAGATGTTCAAAAGGACTCTTGGTATGAAATGCTTTTATAGTTGTCTTAGGAGCAATCAACATTTTCTGTTTGTTTTTGTATTTTTGTTGTTGCAGGTTAAAGCTGAGCCAGCCAAAATAGAAGCCTTCCGAGCTTCACTTTCCAAGCTAGGAGATGTCTATGTCAATGATGCTTTTGGCACTGCTCACCGAGCCCACAGGTACTAAGAGTCTTGTTTGATGTTGAACTGGCAACAGTAATCTTCTCTTTACTGGAATAGCCCAAGTTCTGGGTTGTTTTTGGAGATTTCTGTGAGTGATGTATTATATAGAACATGATCCTTTCAGCCTCTAATTGGAGCTTCCAATTAGAGTGTGGTTCTTTTTTTAAAAATTTTTAAATGTTTATTTAATTTTGAGAGAGAGAGAAAGAGAGACAGCACAAGTAGGGGATGGGCAGAGAGAGACGGAGACACAGAATCTGAAACAGGCTCTGGGCTCTGAACTAGCAGCACAGAGCCCGAAGCTGGGCTTGAACTCACAAACTGTGAGATCATGACCCGAGCCGAATTCAGATACCCAACTGACTGAGCTACACAGGTGCCCCTAGACTGTGGTCCTTGTTGAATATCCTTGGTTCTTATTTTATTGAGGAAATAAAAGTGAAACATGTTGAGAATTATGGAGCTTTTTGTCAAGCTTTAGGAAGAGGTTGCTCTTAGGATATTTCAGGTAGAGTCCTCCCTGTGTTAAAATTGTAAGATCACAGTCTTTTAAAGTTGTTTATTTATTTATTTTTGAGAGGGTGAGCACAAGTGGGGGAGGGGCAGAGAGAGAGAGAGGGAGATACAGAATCTGAAGCAGGCTCCAGGCTCTGAGCTGTCAACGCAGAGCCTGGCTTGAACCCATGAACTATGAGATTATGAGCTGAGCCGAAGTTGAACGCTTAACCAACCGACTGAGCCACCCAAGTGCCCCTATAAGATCAGGGTCTTATGCTGTTATTAGGAAGCAATTGAAGAATTTTCTCGTGTTGTCACCAATTGGCTGATTTGCTTATTATGGTTAAACCCTTGACTTGAAGACTATTAATTGGGTATCTTAAATTCTACTTAAGGTCATTGCTTTTTACTTGCTCCCTTTGGCGCTGCTCTATTAATCAAAAATCTTACGTGTTTTTATTGCAGTTTAAGGTTGAAAACTGTGAATGTATTTCAACGATAAGGAGATGGCCTCTAGAATTGGGAGAGTTGGTAAGGGATTGACCAAAATTTAAATATCTCTGTTCTTTTCTAGCTCCATGGTGGGAGTCAATCTGCCACAGAAGGCTGGAGGTTTCTTGATGAAGAAGGAGCTGAACTACTTTGCCAAGGCCTTGGAGAGCCCAGAGCGACCCTTCCTGGCCATTCTGGGCGGGTATCAAGAACCTTTCTGAGATCATGTTTTAAATAGTATATTTGCCTGATAGTAGGCCATGACTTGGGTGGTTTTTTGTCAGAAAGCACAATCAAAGTGGGTAACTGAGGAGAATTTAATAAAGGGACTATCTATCTACCACGGTATAGGTAGGGTTCAGGGAAACCCCAAAAGGACAGTATAGTAATCTGGGGCTAGAAACAGCCATCACAGTCCCTAGGCCTGAAGGGACAAAGAGAAGAAGTGGTTATCAGAATCCAGAGAGGGTAGTTGTGTAGAGAGGGCCCTCTGATGGAAACTGTAGCCTTGGTCAGGGGACATTGGGATAGCCAGGGAAATAAATACTCTCATCTCCCTTCAGTCTTCTGATGTTTCCTCTCCCACTTCCAGTTGGCTGGAATCCAACTGGAAGCCAGAGAGCCCCTTGATGCAGTCCATGCAGGTCAGCCTCCTGGGACAAAACAGGGCCCAGAAGGAGAGCAAGTGGTTTTGGAGGGAAGAATGGGAAAAATTTACCATAGTTGCTCATCTTACTATTTTTGAAGCCTTTGAGCCTTTCACATACATATAGTATGGCAAGAATAACCATGAAAATCTCCTCATATGTATTTAATTTATCCTTTGGAACTCATTTCCCCTAATTATATACCTTTTCATATTTTCCCCTATGGGGAAAGGTACCACATAGATAATGATATTCTAATGGCTTAGTTAGAAGTAGAAATTTCAGAATTGCAAAGGTTAAGAGGCTAGGAAGATAGATTTTAGGTGATAGAGTGGGCACAGGGACTTAGTGTACTGCTTGGATAAGATAACTTCCTGTCACTTGGCATGGCTATCTAGGTAGCACCCTTGTTATGGCTGGATGCCACTGACCCTTCTGTGAGCATGTTTTCTTTTTTCCATGGGATTGAACACACTCAGCATTTTCCTATGAAAGCTGACTCTGGAGTTCGGTGTCAATTTCAGGTAGCATAGTTGCTCTTCAGGCTTCATGAGCCCAGTTTCAGGGTCCTAAAAATAATTCAGGTGGGTACAGGTTGTCATCTGTGTCCTAGAAGTATTGCCCTTCTTGTGCACTGAGTTATAAAGGTCACACTCTTATCTTTGCTGCTCTAGAGATTAGGATTTGAGCTGCTTTTCTTCATCCTTCTGTAGTCCTGTAATATGGGAATGAGTGCTACTTAGTTGTTATGATTAGGTTTTAGGCTGACCCTGAAATCGCTGTTTTGGGGAAAGTTGATGTGGAGGGTCTTTTTTTGCCACCTTTCTTCCAGTGTAGTCTTAGACCATTCGCAGTTTGGGGGAAATTTTACATTTTATTTAAAAAACATTGTGGAAGCACCAAACATGTACAGAAGTTGAGAGAACAGTATAATCAGCCCCCAGGTACCTAATACCTTGCTTCAACAATTACTGACATTTTTGTCAGGAGTACAGCATTTTCAAGCAAATCTTAGACATATAATTTCACTTAATAGCTCAGTATGTATCTCATAACTGATCAGGAGATTTCTTTTTCAGTAACCACCACGTTATACTTAATACAATTTAATAGTTTTCTTACTGTCATCTAATACCAAGTTTGTATTCAGAAGTTCTTTGTCATCTCAAAAATTATCTTTTTACAGTTGGTTTGGTTGAATAAGGATCCAGATGAAGTCCATGCCTTGAGTTTGGTTGTTAGGCATATTTTATTCTCTAGTAGTATCTTTTTCCTTATTGTTTTCATTCCATTGATTTGTTGAAGAAGCTGGGCACTTGAGCTGTAGCATTATCCATCCCACATTCTTCAGAAGAGATTGAGTCTCTTTCCTTTTCTCCCTCTTATTTATTTTCTCTCTCTTGTGCTCTTGCTCTGTGTGTGTGGGGATAGTAGTTAATCCATGTTTAACCCTTGGTGGTGACCAATCTTTACAAGGGAGATAAACAGTTTCTTGCCATTCAGTACCCCATGTCACTGTTGTTTTGAACCTCCCTCTCACAAATCGTAGCATAGGGCCTTTCACAGGGTAGACATCATCTTGTTTATTGAATGAAGAGGGAAACAGGCCCAAGGGGATCTCTTGTTTGTTTCAATGGAATTTATATATATAGGAGTGTTTATGTTTAGGTTTTTTTTCTCTCTCGGAGCTGAAAGGTATGTCTGTATTTATTGTCTTATTTACTTATACTAGAAGCTCTGAAGGTGTAGAGGTCTTTGGTTTTTGCCCACTGATATTTCTCAAAGACCTAGAACACTGTTTGGCACAGAGAAGGTGCTTGATAGATGTGTTGAGTTAAGTGGTCCAGTGGAATCATAAATGCCATAAACCACATGTCCCAGCAACTGAACATAGATCTAAGAGTGTGGATACCTGTTTTTGCTTGGTATATAGTTGTTTGGGATATGATCTGATCCCTTCTGTAGGGTTGGGACAGTTTTGAGTGGGCTCAGGGATCTCACAGTTAGCAGTCTTGCTGAAGTATAATTAGCTGTCTTGACCTCTGGTTTTTGTGGGGAGAAGGCAAACTAGACCTGTTTGGGTCTCATGGTTTCTTTAGACAGTAGGTCTTTTTCTTTTTTCTTTTCTTTTCTTTTCTTTTCTTTTCTTTTCTTTTCTTTTCTTTTCTTTTCTTTTCTTTTCTTTTCTTTTCTCTTTTCGTTCTGCCAGAGTGTAAATGGGGGAGGGGCAGAGGGATAGAGAAGCTTAAGCAGGGTTCATACCCAAGCCCAGCATAAAGCCTGATGTGGGGCTCGATCCCAAGACTGAGATCATGAACTGAGCCAAACTCAACTGTCAGATGCTCAACCGACTGAGCTATCCAGGCACCCCAATAGTAGGTATTCTAAGTCCTTTATGTTGTAGAAGTTTTCTTAGAAATAGATTGGCCTTTTGGGTTGAAGAAACATAGGGCAAAGTTAGCCAATACTCTTTTTTTTCTTCCAAGTTTTTATTTAAATTCCAGTTAGTTAACATACACTGTAATATTAGTTTCAAGTGTAGAATTTAGTGATTCATCACTTATATAGAACACCTAGAGCTCATCACAAGTGCCCTCCTTAATACCCATCACCCATATAACCCATTCTCCCCACATACCTCCCCCCTCCAGCAACCCTCAGTTTCTTCTCTGTAGTTAAGAGTCTGTTTTTTGGTTTGCCTCTCTTTTTTCTTCCCCCATATTCATCTGTTTTGTTTCTTAAATTCCACACGAGTGAAACCGTATGGTATTTGTCTTTCTCTGACTTACTTATTTTGCTTAGCATGATACTTTCTAGTTCCATCCACATCATTACAAATGGCAAGATTTCATTTTTTTATGGCTGAGTAATATTCCATTGTATGTATATACCACATCTTTATCCATTCATCAGTCCATGGACGTTGGGCTCTTTCCTTAATTTGGCTATTGTTGATAATGCTGCTATAAACATCGGGGTGAATGGATCCCTTCAAATTAGTACTTTTGTATTCTTTGGGTAAATACCTAGTAGTGCAATTGCTGCTGGGTTGTAGGGTAGTTCTATTTTTAACTTTTTGAGGAACCTCCATACTATTTTCCAGAGTAGTTAGCCAATAATTTTGTCACTCGGAGGACATTTCCTTGTTCCTATGCCTTGGTATAAAAACTCAGGCACTATTTAATATCACTTCCTTAGTCCATCTGTTCTTTTGGTAATGTTCTTGCTTTCCCTTCTAGAGCTAAAGTTGCAGACAAGATCCAGCTGATCAATAATATGCTGGACAAAGTCAATGAGATGATTATTGGTGGTGGAATGGCTTTTACCTTCCTTAAGGTGCTCAACAACATGGAGGTAGGAAACCAATGCTAAGTGGATGTGAAATCGCTCTCCATGAGAAATAGCAGGTTATGTAAATTTAAAAAGCAAACCAGCTTCTGACATGAGCCCTAACAAAACTTCCATTTTTATTTATTTTGAAAGTTGTTTTTCTTTTGTCCTGGAATTGTTTCTTTATATTGTATTGTATCTTATTCCTATGCTTTGTGAGGTAGTCATGTTCTTAGTGTAGAGGCTGATCTTCATCTTGGCTCCTGTGTATAGATTGGCACTTCTCTGTTTGATGAAGAGGGAGCCAAGATCGTCAAAGATCTGATGTCCAAAGCTGAGAAGAATGGTGTGAAAATTACTTTGCCTGTTGACTTTGTCACTGCTGAAAAGTTTGATGAGAATGCCAAGACTGGGCAAGCCACTGTGGCCTCTGGCATACCTGCTGGCTGGATGGTGAGTCACTTGGGTGGTTGGTAATATGAGTGAACAAAAACATTTTGATTTCATTCATTCGTTCATTCATACAATCACTCACTTCTTCACCCATTCATTCAACCGACTAGCAAACATTTTAAAAGATGCTCTACAGGAAATCTCTGTCAGAGAGGGCTCCAAGTGTAGCAGTGAGACCCTCCTCAAGAGAGAATCCATGGGGGAAAAAGCAATGGTATGATTGCTGCTGTCTTCATCAGTAATGTGGGGGCAAAACCATGTTTTGTTTCCTCGTTTATTTA